GCCTCCCTCCGCCGCCTCCCCCGCGACGTCTCCGGGCGGCCGGGGCCGCGGCCTGGAGCAGAGCAGCTTCCAGTGGACGCCGTCGGGACGCCGCACCGGCAGCCTCTACTGCAGGGTGGGCATCGGCTTCCACCTGCAGATCCACCCGGATGGCAAAGTCAATGGCTCCCACGAGGCCAACGTGTTAAGTAAGTTGCTCGCTTCCCAGCAACGCCCGTGCGAAGCGGGTGGCCGGCCTTCGGGAGGGACGGCGGGTAATTCCCAGGGCCACCGCCCCCCTTCCCGGGGCCGTGGGGACCCAGATGGCCCTGAGACAGCCTGGCGCGTGGCGTGGGGGTGCGTGTTCAGGGCGCGCTCCTGGGCAGGAGGAAGGGCGGCTCCTGAAGTGAAGGCTGCCCGGGGGCCGGTGCGCGGCGAGAAGCGCCCGCTTCCACTGCCGGTGCCAAGGAGGAGCCGCCCGCCCGCGCCTGGAGAGAAAACCCGGCAATTTCCTTCCTCCTCCCGCAGTTCCTCTTTACTTTCTGCCTGTTTACTGGGCTGGCATTTTCCCTCAGGCGCCAGAGTGCGCCCCTTTTCCTCGCCCACGGCTGAAGTTATTTTTTTAGAAGAATAAAATCTGACATAGCCCCGAACCACCACCATACCCCCCCCCCAATAATATATCATGTGTATTTATACATGTACGTAAATGCATGTCTGTTGTGTATACATATTTGCAATTATTTACATATAGGATGTATATACATACATGTATTCTAGGGGAGACCAGACACCCCTGTTTGGAAGAAGACAGTGGTCTGGAAAGCAGGGCACGTTTAGAAAGGGCGCCGTGCTGGACATTTGAATTATTAGCTGTGGAGTTGGGTTTAGCAACGTCTAGTCTCTAGAGACCAAGACACCTCTCGGTCCCCCAGGACAATTAGGGTCAAGTTCTTTATTTGGGAAGAAATGCAGAGGAGGTTCAGTTTGATACAGGTGCAGATCGTGTAGGGTTTGTGTGTGTGTTTTAATATCTTTATTGATATCAGAGAGAGCGAGAGGGAGAGAGAGAAACATCAGCGAGGAGAGTCATGGGTGGCCGCCCCCTGCGCGCCCCGCACTGGGGGCCGAGCGCGCAGCCCGGGCCTGTGCCCCGGCCGGGACTCGAACCCCGATCGCCTGGATCCTGGGTCAGCGCTCAGCCGCTGAGCCACGCCCGGCCGGGCGGGTGTTTTAAATTTTTTAATTATTTTGAAGCCCAAGTTTTGCATCTTCTCCCTGAGCTTTCTCTTTAGCTCTTTGTTTCTCCGCCGGCTCCTTTCCCTTCCACTCCAC